TAAAGACATAATTATGGGATTTAAAATGTGTTCATCTTTGCTTGGTGAAGAGATAAGAAAGTATTCAGTGCAGAAACCTGAAGTTGGAGAGCTCAAGCCACGTCAGGGAGGGAGTCTAAGTTAGCCCAGTTTGGTCTTCAGCTGATAACAAGCACTACAAACCCGGCCAGCTGAGCGGGTCAAAAGACACCGGTCACCAAATGGCGTCTCCATGAAAACCCGAACGACGTGAGTTCCACCTTACCCTACAACGCCTGGAGCACAGGGACTGTGGGTCTATTAAGTATTTCCTCCAAGCCTTCCAAGAGCCTTTATCCGGAAAGAGTCTATTCATTCATCATTTACACCCTCAATCAGCTAGTCGGGGGAGAAGGTGGGCTCTGCTCCAATCTGACTGGGGATGCAAAACACCTGCTGGGCTGAAAATTCCCATCAGGAAGCCTGCAATGTAGTCGCTGCTTCCGGGCAAAAGATGGTGCAGACCGAGCATCACTGGGTTGCCCAGAGAACAGGGCAGACTCTGGACGAGGACCTGTGTGTTCAGCAACCAAATCCTCCACGTTTTTCTGGGCAATCCCAATGTCAGGTATTTCATATCCTTTCTCTTTACATATCACCCAACTGTCCGAGGTATGGCTTCGCATCCACTCACTCACAACACCTCCCCGACAGCCTGGGAAATCGGGCACTGTGCCCAAGGGCCAGGAATACCTGATACTCTTTGGGCTTTCCCCTCTGCTAACGGAGATTACCTCGGCCTTTCAGTAAGGACATGTTTCTCTCAGCTCTCTTCTGTGTGGCCAGCTCTCTGGATGGCGAAGGTAAGGGCGGGAGGCTCACATTCTACAGGCAGCCCAAACGAAAAGCAATCTCAGACCAGACCAGCAGGGGGCAAACTCCCTAAGGCGGCAGGGAGGCACAATCTGGGGGAGGCCAGGCAGAGCTGGAGACCGCTAGCCCCACGGGAGCAACAGGAACAGGCACACCTCTGTGCAAGGACAAGAGTGAGGTATGCCGTGGGATTTCAGTTCCGTGAGGACTCTACTGGTCGCATGAGCAGTGCTGAGTGCTGTAGCTGAGTCCGCCCCACCTCGTGACGCACGATTCATTCCTTCGGTCCCACGGCTCTCCTGGTGTCTTGTCGGTTTTCAGTTTGTCTCCACAGACCGGTGTTTATTTCTTACTATGTACTCGGCTCTGTGGACCGAAAGGGAATCAGAGCTTCGGGTCTCAGCAGACTCGCGGTGCGGTGGGCAGAGAGGGAAATGGACAAGCCCGGTGAGGCGGGTGCTGCTGGGGAGGGCACGGGGAAGCCGGAGGCGGGAGACGGTCCCCACGCTCTGCTTGCCATTACTAAGCGACATCACCACCTCAGAGGGACGTTGAGGAAGGGGTCTGGAGGAGGTTCACTGGCAGAAAAGAGGCAGGGAGCTCCTCATCTTGGGCAGTGGCAGCAGCTCACAAGCAGGATGAGAGGAGGGAGACGAAGCTGTGGTGCTGGGCGGGTGCGCCGGGGCAGGGCTGTGTGAGCAGTGCTCTGAGTCCCATGCTGTACACACAGAGGGCAGCCACGGATGGGATGGCATCAGCCGCTGGAGGAGGGAGCAGGGAAAGCCGACTGGACACTCCGGACAGAGTTTGTCCCAGAGATGGTGAGCATGGGGCCCCTGGGTGGCTCAGCTGTTAAGCGGCTGCCTTTGGCTCAGGTCGTGATCCCCGGGTCCTGGGATCGAGTCCCGCCTCTGCTCCTTGCTCAGTGGGGAGCCTGCTTCTCCCTCTGCTCCTCCCCTGGCTTGTGCTCTTTCTTGTTCTCTCTGTCACATAATCTTTTTTTATTTTTAAGAGAGATGGTGAACGTGTAAAATGGGGCAGCGAGAGGAGAGAGGGCAGGAAAGGGGAATATTGAGAAATATCAGACGGCAAACATCATGGGAACTTGGGGAATTAAGGAACCAGGAATGACGCCCAGGGGTCAGGTGTCTAGGAGAGGAAAAGAAGGCGACCCAAAAACTAGCATTAGGTAAGCCAAAGGAATGGAAGTTTTCGAGGGGGCGGGGTGGGCCTGAGGCTCACACACTGCGCAGAGGGACATTTTGGAGGCCAGTCTCCAGAGCACTGAAGAGGAAATGGGAAGCAAGGAGGTAGTCAGTGCATGGAAATTGATGTCTGGCTGTGAAGGGAAGGAGAGAGTAGTGATGAACTCATAAACAGACATAAAATCCGGGCGTCTGGGTGGCTCATTCGGTTGAGCGTCTGCCTTCTGCTCCCATCATGATCTTGGGGTCCATTGATCGAGCCCGAGTTGGGCTCCTTGCTCAGTGTGGGGTTTGCTTTTCCCTCCCATCTCCCCCTCTACCCCGCTGCCCTGCGCTCCCTAGCTAGAGCTCTCTCTCTCTCAAGTAAATAAAATCTTAAAAAAAAAAAAAGACATAAAATCAAGGAAAGATTTTTTTTTTTTAACACCAGAGACCCTTGTGTGTGTGTGCCTGTGTGTGTGGGTGTACATGTGTGGGCTAAAGGGAAAGAGACAGTGAAAACACAGAAGAGAGAGAAAGAACTTGATGGGGGAAGGTTCCAGAAAAGCAGGGAAAGGAAGAGATAAAAACCAGAAACACAGAGAGTATTATTGGCTATGTCTAGACCAGGGCAAGCGTGGCCATGGCAGGCACAGGAAATGTCCTCAGATGCTGTCAGGAGAGCCCTAAATACGACAGGTCCCCAGGAAGCACACATTAAAGAGTGAAACGCACACCTGGTCTTACCTTCCAAGTTGGGTCAATACCCTGAATCTGGCTCCCACCTTCCCTCCATCCCTCCCTCTCTTTCTCTAGTGCCATCTCTGAAAAAGTCAACCCAACACATGCAGCAACAGAAGCTACAGACAGGGGGTAGTCCTGGGAAAAAGGACGATTCATCTAACCACTCACCCAGCTATCAGTTTCACCCCTGTCATGGATGACAAGAGGAAATGCATTTGTCATAGTCAAGTGAAGGATACTGATGTCTGCTAAGAAGGGTCTGTGATCTTAATATGGGCTGTGTGCCTTGGTTATGTGTCCTTCGCCACAGTCTTATCTCCTTATTAGCGATGAATTAAGGAACCAGACTTAATTACAGAAAGGTCTCAGATGAGGGTTTCTTAAAGTCACTCTAAACTCTCCGTAGAGCGACTTGATTCCTAGCGGAATGAGTGCAAATTCCGAGGGCTCTCAGTTTTTAAGCATCTTTTGAAATCTCACTCTGCCAAGGTTTAACGGAAGTCAACAGATTTTTCATGAATGTTATCAATAAAGCCAGCGGTCAAATAAAAGCTGGTTAAATTGCATGACTGGAGCGGCCACCAATGTGTCAGGAATTAATGTCATTTAGCTCTAGTGTTAGCATTTGTTTCTGGTGCTGGGCTGTAGCAGACGCAACAGGAGGCAGGAAGGATAGAACAGGGGATGGGCCAGCAATTGAAAGCTCAGTACCCACCCAGGCCAGGCTCCCAAATCAGTAAGGTTTCTGTGCCGCCCGCTAAGAGCACAGAAGAGGCCAGCCCTCCTGGGATGAAGGAGGGGAGAAGCTGCTGACCTGCCTCAGGTAAAAGGAAGCTGCACTCACCCCACTCAGCCACCTCTCCAACCTCAGGCAGCTCAAATTTTACTGACCAGGGAACCATAGCCTACCCCACCCGGTTAGTCAGGGAGAGAAGAGGCTGGGTGTCAGAATATGGGGGGCCCAGCCCTGCCTCTTTCCTGCCTCTGTGCAGTAGATGCGTGTTTGTGGCTGCTGCAAAGGGGCGATTCAATCGAAAATATCAACTACAACTTTCCCCTCGCCGTAACCTGCTCTTCCTTAATATATAAGCTTTTAGTCAAAGGACTTGACAATATCTTAAAAAAGGTATTCCAGATGATACTAACCACCACTACTGAAATGACCGAGTTAGAAAGCTTGTTTCTACTTGATAGTGTTGTTTCCCATATTATAAACAGAAGCTCATATTTTTATTTTTTGTTTGTTCTGTAGATAAATATACTGGAGTCAGAGAGCCACACAAAGTATACATGCCCATTTACTACAATTGGCCTTTCTGAATGGTCTGGGGCTCCTTAGAAAAGCCTGGTTAAAGACAAGACAAGCCTGGCTTTCTGCTGTTGTCTTTTCATTGTAATTCACTCTAATATTTGAGTTGCCCCTAACGCCCAAATTAAAAAATTACAAATTAGCAAACAGGCCATGAGCCTCCCACGTTGAAATGGTCAGCATGCTCCTGTGACCGCTCAGGGTCAGAGTTCAGAGACTCCCTCCCTCTGGTTTTGTTCCCTTGCAGACCTAAGGAATGGAAAAATTGAAAGGAGAGTGCACAGAAAGGGGAAAAATACTTTTCCCGATTGCGACACTATTTTGCCAAATCCTTATTTTAATCTTCATTTAATCCCACGAATTCCCTATCTTCAGAAAAGACCACGTTATCCCAAAGCAATGTAGTTCCATTTGCAAGCAGAGCCTGCAGATTTCTGCGTCTGCATTCTCTTGGTTGGAAATGGGTCTTCAGATCACCTGGAGGTAAGTTTCCGACACAGAACTCCCCCGGGGGCTTCATTGTCTCAGCACCCACTGCAGGGGGAGGGAGAGAGGTGTTAAAGATCCTGAGATTCCTGTGGCCGGATAGGGGCACCCTCTGCACCCGCACAAACTGGAGCGCCTTGGATGACGGAAGCTTCCAGCCGCGTGGGTTCCCACAGAGCGGGCGCCCCGCCAAAAAGTGCGCAGAAAAACTCTGCTCAATTCACGCGGCACAGACGCGCCCAGTGCGCCCCGGGCAGCGCCGAGAGGCGGGCGCCAGAGCCGCACGTCGGGGAAAGGCAGCAGCTCTGCCAAACTTTTGAGTACAGGACCCAACTTGGGGACGAGGTTCGAGAAAACGGAACGGGGCCCCCGGGACCGACCGCGGAGTCAGGATCGGGACCGGACGCCAGGGAAGGGTCCGCCCCAGCAGCGGGCGTGGCGCTCACCCGCGTTCCGGAGCTTGCGGTTCCTGAGCACTGACAGGATGACTAGGAGGTTGCCCACGACGTCCACTGCTGTGGTGACGATGAGCACGGCGGACAGCGCGGGCGCCACCCAGGGAGGACGGGCGGTCCCGGAGGACCGCGCGCTACCCGCCCCCGGCCAGCCCGGGCGCACAGCCGGCTCGCCCGCCTCGCAGCAGTTGGAGAAGGAGCCGTTCTCCAGCATCGTGGACCGTCCGGCGCCGCGCGCCAGCCACCGCGCCAAGCCCTGTCGCCGCAGGAAGCGCGCTGTCGTGCCCAGAGTTCTTGCCGCCCGCACGGGTGCCCCGACCAGTAGGGAGGGACCTAGAGGAAGTAATTAAGCGTGGGCAGGGGGCGGAGAAAAACATCAGAATGGGAGGAGGACTTGGGGTGCAGGCGTTGCCAAAAGGAGTGCATCCTTCCCTCTCCCTCCCTGCGGGGCTGGCTCAGGAACATCTGAGACCCAGAGCCCAAAACTGCCTGGCCCAGCTCAGCCCTCAATTCCTGAGCGCACCTCCACGCCCAGATTCCCAGATTCCCTCCTACCCCACCCCCAAGAGAAGCTGTGCCCAGGAAGGGACACCCAGATATGCGGACTGGAGAAGGTGTTGTTCGTGGAGACCTGCAGACCTGTTGTCAGAAGGGCAAGGTTTGAGGCCCCCATGGGGGCTGCGCAGCTCCAAAGAGAGTAGTCCCCAGGGTATGGGGACAGATCCCAGGGCAAAGTCTGGTGGAGGGTTACACTCCTGGCAGCTGCAGGAGAAAAGCAAACCCCTATTTATTGAGCACTTGTTGTTTACCCTGGGAGACACTGATGATGTCTCTGCCTTGTCCTCGTCATAAAACCAAGACATCTATTGATATATGAACATCTATTTAAATATGACAATACTTAAATAGATGTGTGGTCAATACTGGGGGTTATTATAATGTGGTTTTGGAGGGCTTTTGAACAAAAAGAGTGAAATATGACTACTGGAAAGAAGGAACTTAGATGCCCTTTATTTAAAAGGTTTGAGCACTTGCTCTGATAACAGCAACAGCTAACCTCTTCTGAGGGTGAATTTTATGCCAAGCACTGTCCTAGCACCTTTCACATCACTAGAACCACTAAAATCAAAATGACGGACAATTTTAAATTTGAGGAGGAGGTAAAACGCCTGGATACATTGCTTTCATGAGAATGCAAAATGGTACAGCCACTTTATAGAGTTGTTTGGTAGCTTCTTATGGAGTTAAACATATATCATCCTACAACCAGAAATGAGATAAAAATGAAACATATGTCCACAAAAAAAAAAACTTGTGCCGGAATGTCCAGAACAGCCTTATTGATAGTAGCCCAATCCTGGAAACAGCCCAAATATCCATGAGAGGGTAAACAAATTGTGGTATATTCCTACATGGAATACCACTCAGCAATAAAAACTACTGATCTACACAACATGGATTAATCTAAAAAAATATTATATTGAACAAACGAAGCCAGGCACAAAAGAGTACATACTATACAATTCATTTATATGAAGTCAAAAAATAGGAAAAATTAATCTACGGTGATAGACAATTAGAACAATGGTTGCCTATGGGGGTGAGGATGGACCAGGATAGAGCACAAAATACATTTCTGGGGTGTTATTTCATGTTATTTTATGTAAATATGATATGTGTATTTCATGTAAATTATACTCTCCCACCTCCTTCCTATCCCAGGCCCCAAGAAACAAACACAAAAAGGAGGAGTGCAGTGGAGAGGAGTGATGATTCTGGAGAAGGATGTGTTAGAGAACAAACCCCTGGAGAAGTGAGCCCATCCTGAGCCCAGGGAAGGAATATTATTGTTAGCAAGGAGAGGCTTCACCCCTATGGTAGAAGGGAAGCAGAAGCTGGGAGCCGAATTCAAAGTGTTTCTAGATTGGTGTGAGCAAATGAGGGAGCTGCCTTCTGGCTGCTCTGATCTCAAGGAGCTTGAGCCTACCTCGTTAGCTGGGACTGGGGGAAAGAATGTGGGAGATTTGAAGACAGGAGAAGGTATGAAACGTCATTTCAGAAAATAGGTACACTAACTAGGATCCGTGGCAGATTTGTCAGGAGAGCAAGTACCCCTGAACAGTTTCAGATCGTGGCTCTGAGTGAAGCCAGTCAGCCTCATGGTGTGGTTGTCAGTCAGCAACTTGGATCTGCTCAGGACAGGCACTGACGAGGCAGGAGGATCTTCAGCCAGGATTGGGGTTTGCCAGGGAGGAGTAAATAACGGAAGGAAGTGCAAGGCATGATGGGAAGATGGACCCTAGGATCTATATTAAATGAGGCATGCTGAGAAAACGGGAGGGGGCTGATGGATCATGAGATACAGATGGGATCAAGGGATCAGAGGGGCTGAATTCAAAGGATTGTGGTGGGTGAATTTGAACAAATAGGCTTTGATATTGAGAGAGTGACTTGTTTGAAACTTGTTTGAGATTTCTTAGGACTGCAGATTCTGTTGAAGTGGGGCCTCTGAGTGGGATGATGGGAATGGGTGGCCGGAGAGGGGCGAGGGGAAGTTCATTAGAAACGAGAAGGTCAAGGACCTGAGAAGCCCAAGCGTGGGTCTTGTGGTGGTGAGAGAAAAGGGAAACTGAGTCGGGGGCAAATCCCAGTGAATAGAGAGGAATGACCAGCCAGTTGGTAAGAGAGATGCAGGAATGAGGAGAAGGAGAGACAGTGGGATGGTGTGAAAATGTCACAGGCTGTTCTCAAAGAAGAGATAACCTTCCCTGTTCTTACATACACACGTGTACAAACATATAGCGGCACTTCTGTGGCTTTCAGTGGCCCTCATAACAGCAGGTGAGTTGGGTGCAAAACAAATGGCCCCCGTTCAGCACACCAATGACACACATTTGCTTAACTGAGTACGAACCAGAGGAAGCAGCCCTGGGATGTGATCATGCACACATCCACAACAGTGTATCTCAGACCTTTGGGCACGAGCAAGTGGGCTGCTCTCCGCCTAAGCAGTCAGCATTATGTCCTAGCACAGTGGACTAGGCTGTGACTTAAAAGGGCAGGGGAAGGGTACTGCAGCTTTGGAAGACACTTTGCTGGTTTCTTACAAAACTAAGCATACTATTGCCATCTGATATGGTGACCACACTCCTTGGTATTTACTCAAAGGAGTTGAAGTTATCTCCATACTAAAACCTACGCATGGATGTTTATAGCAGCTTTATTCATAATTTCCAAAAACTGGAAGCAACCAAGTTATCCTTCAGTAGGTTAATGGATAAATAAACTGTGGTAATCCAGACAATGGAATATTATTCCTCACTAAAAAGAAATGCACCGTCAAGCCACAAAAAGACATGGAAGAACCTTAACTACATATTCCTAAGTGAAAGAAGTCAATCTAAAAAGGCTACATATGATATGATTGATTCCAATTATATAACATTCTGGAAAGGCAAAATTATGGAGACAGTAAAAAGATCAGTGGTTGCCAGGGATTAGGGGAGATAGAGAGAGAGATGAATAGGCAGAGCACAAAGGATGTTTAGGGCAGTGAAACAACTCTATATGATACCATAGTGATGAATTGGTGTCATTATACATTTGTTCAAACTCATACAACACCAAGAGTGAACCCCAATGTAAACCAGGGGCTTTGGGTGATGATAATGCATCAGTGTAAGTTCAACTGCAACAAATGTACCATTCTGGGGAGGGAGCGGATATTGATAATGGGGGAGGTCATGCATATGGCAATGTGTGGGAACTCTTTGTACTTCCCCTCAATTTCACTGTGAACTTAAAACTGCTCTAAAAAGTAGTCTACTTAAAAGGGGGAAGGAAAAGAAAGAAGGAGTATTGTTGCCAGGGAAGGTGAAAATGTCCCCAGGACTCATACAGCCTCAGCCAAAAGAGAATCCACACCACTTACTAGCAACAAGACCAAATAAGCAACCCTAGAAAGAAAAAATCCCAATGGTGAAGAGGTTGGAGCTAGGATACCGACGGTGTTGGGGGGGTGCCCTGATTTAAGAGAGAGGGTATCACATTGGAGAAACTGAGAAGACATCCCCAGAAGGAGTGAACTCAAGGCTGAGAGGCTAGACCGGGCTGGAGAAGTGGGCAGGAACTGGTCCAGGTAGGCCCGAAAGCCAGGAATTGAAGACTCTGGACTCATCCCCTCGTGGTGAGCTCTGTTGAAGGGTCAGACATCTGTGCTCTGCCCTCCTTTGCAGGCTGCCCTTCCAATGCAGAGTGGATGTCTGCCGCAGAAAGCAGTTCCCATGCTGACTCCTCCAAGTAGAGAAGAGTGGTGATTGCTTCAGCGTTCCAGGCTGATGGCCTCTTAACGGAGCAGATTCTTCTCACGATAGGCGAAACCCACAGTGGCTGCCAACAGTGAAATGAAATTATGGAGGAGGAAGGGGAGAGAGACAAAGGAGAGAGGTTCAAGATTCCCAGCTGGTTTCTCAACAAAATAAATCAACATATTGAACACCTACGGAAAGTTCTAGTGTTACAAAAATGAGCAGGACTGGTGGCTCTTACACCTGGCCCCAAGTCCAAATGCAAATCAAAATATGCTCACAGAAGCTCAGCTTCCCACAGACCAAGAATAATACCTTTCAATTTGGATAGTACTTGAAACCTTTTCTAAACCACTTTACACGGGCCATCTCGTGTCCCCTTTCAACAGCTCAGTGAGACACGGGAGGCAGGTATGATTGGTCCAGCTGGAAAAGAGACGAACAGGCTCTCGGAGATAAGTCACTTGCCAAGGTTGGTGGCTGATGAGTGGCCAAGATGAGTCTGTAAACCAGCTGTCTAACAGAATCCATTTCTTTTATTGGATGTATAATGGCTCTTACTCCCTCTATATGAAATATACAAAGAATGTAATCAAAATTTTGTGCAGGTCATCAGTTTGCCACATGACTAAAGCAACCACTTGCCCTTTTAATAATACTATACATGCTAATGATAGCACCACAGCTAATAGGGAGTGTTTACTCTGTGCTCCACACATGAGACATGGATTTCTCACTTAACCCTCACATATCTGTGAGATGGAGACTGTCGCTGTGCACCGTGAAGGAACTGAGACTCAGAGAGGTTAAGAAATCTGCCTCAGGTTGCCCAGCTAGTGGATCTAGGAGCTAAAATTAGGATCGAGGCTGATTCCAACACTGGGTGCAGTCTTGCTACGGCATCAGT